AGGCAAACTTGATTCTGGTATTTCCTAAATTCTAAGGGCTTGTTTTCGTAAACACTCATATCCTTTCAATGTTATTTTTGAATATGATATATGTATATATGTTGCGTACAAATACAGAAATGTATGCACATTTTGTTTCCTGATGTGGCTTTCAGCTCACTCTGGAAAAAAATACTGCCTACAACTTATCCAATGGTGGGAGGGAGGAAGGGAGGAAGGAAGGGAGGAAGGAAGGAAGGAAGGAAGGAAGGAAGGAAGGGAGGAAGGGAGGAAGGAAGGGAGGAAGGGAGGAAAGAAGGAAGGAAGGGAGGAAAGAAGGAAGGAAGGAAGGGAGGGAGGGAGGGAGGGAGGAAAGAAGGAAGGGAGGGAGGAAGGAAAGAAGGAAGGAAGGGAGGGAGGGAGGGAGGGAGGGGGAGGCACTACTCAACCTATTAAAGTGAACAGTACAGCTAGGGATCTCCAGTGCTTTAAATAAAGGAATTAACAAGACTACTCATTTGCATGCTCAGTGTACTTCCAAAGCCAGATATATTACGTGCCTGGGCATATACTTACCGACTTGATTATCATAGCAATCTCAAAATCTTGATCACATGCTAAATTGGTGCAACTGTCATGAATATCCTTGGGTGCACAGTTGCTGATGCCAGTGATCTCAAAAGTTCAGCACATCTTTAATTTCCATATGCTGAAGACACTGGGGCAATCACTTTCAGCTGTAGAGACAGTTCATCCTGTACAATTTGAAACCACTTGAGATAGATGATCAATAGATTATGTTTGCAGCCCTCCTAAACAGTCCCCAAGCAGGGGTGCTTAGTTTAGCTACTTGGAAATTCAGTTTTGGGAGACATTCAACTCTTCTCTTGGTTTTGCTGCAGGGCAGCAGTGGCAGATTAACCATCTGCATCAGAAAATGGCCAGCTATTTTAGCTAAGACAGCAGCAACACAGGGAACAGTTTGAAGGAAGAGTCCAAGTGTGCCTGCAGTGGTCGCAAATATGTACTTCCACTGATTGAAAATCAGCAACACATTCGCTGTTCACAACCACTGCCACAGTGGCTTTGCTTGGTTTCACAATTTGCAGAGCAGGAATTTATTCTTGACTCCATTTCTGCCAACTCTGCAGAATCTTGGTTAACATGCTGCAAAGTGTCTCATTAGTGACTACCCCAAACACTATGGGGACATCTTGAGTCTGCTGCCCACAGTGTATCTGTGGAAGAGAACACCTACAGTCATACACCAACCTAAAGTACCACACTTGTGGAAACTGAAGAAAATACCATCTCAACACAATTTTTTCCTTGCTAGAATTCTCTAAGTGGTAATGAAATGGCATTAATGAAAATGTCCCAAAATAAAAATTCAAAGTCATTACTCTAAACATTGTAATGATTTAGGATTACTGAGCAATTTGCACAAATTAATCAGAGTTAACAAGTTAAATGCAGATTCCTACCATTGAATCAAGCCAAACCTTTGGGTCAAGGAGAACTGACAAATACCTGTAGCAAGCACATACCTGTCTTGCAGTCCTGATGTTCTCTTCAGCACTGCATCCAGCACTTGAAGCAGAAGTGACACAGCAGTGCTGTACTTAGTGCAAATTACTGCCTAGGTAGGTTTGTCCAAAGTTTCCCATCGAAACTGCTGACCATCCTATAATCCAAATATGTTTGTATTAAATCCTAAAGCCACGATCATTATTGGAAAAGGGGAAAAAAAGGAAATAACTTTTCTTTTGGACAGGAAGTAAAGCTTACCTTGTAAATGCCAGTGAGGATTTATTATCTAAATGAGTTCTTCCCATGGTAAACTTCTCAGTGACCTGTTCATCAATACTAATGAAATCAACCCATCTTTCTTGGTTTGGGCAGTGCCTTTAAATTCCTAATTGAGTTCTTACAGCCATGTACTATGCTACTATGCCTGACCAATCAAAGCTCCCATCTCTAACGAGTTTAGATATATCTCAAACTCTGAAAAAGGGTTCAGTAGCTACCTCGGAAATAGGTGAAGGCAATAAAGTTCAACAAAAAATCTACAAATAAATCTCCTTAATTTATCTACCTGAAACAACTCTTGATATACTTGACATGAATGTCACAGATATTTCAAAAGTAAAATATAGACAATACATTGCAAGATTCCTTATCAGAAAGCTAATATCCCACACTAAAATAATGGAGCAATTTTTACACCTAAGTAATGAAAGTGGGCAGTGAGAACACCTACAAGTCAAGAATATTTTTTCTATCAGACAACCTCTGATTAAGGTAGAGATTACACTAGTTTCTGGCTTCACTTACTATATCTAAGTATAAGTGTAATATGAAGGTATGTTTTTACAGTTATTTGGGTCTATAATTTATATCCTCTTCCATGAAGGATTAATGCATCAGAAGAAAATGAAAATATTTTAATGGTGATGTAGGTTGTTTGAAATATAATGATTTTTCTGAGTTGCCAAATTCCTTATTCCATATGTTGCTGTTATAAAAGCACATATAATGTGAATTAGAGAAATAAAAGGAGGGTTGTATTCACTTAAGGACTTCTAACTGTTACCATTTAAAAGGGCCATGAGGTACATGTGGGTACAACTCATTCTTTTTCAACCAGTGCATTTAGCAGTTTATTCATCTTGGGGAGAGTTTATTTGTTATTTTGCAGACTGGACTGCTCTGGAACTTTGCTGGTTGCTGCTCTCAGTAGAGTCTGATTTCCTGCTGTCTCTCTTTATCACCTCTCTCCTTTTGTAGATTTCCCTGCCATTCTCCTGCTTGTATCTCTGAACAGTGGGCATGCTTTTCATTTTAAAAATTACTCCTACTGTGAGCTCACTTAATGGGATTGAACATTCATGATTTTTCTCTTCAGTGGGTCTTTCCACTTTTGAAGAAAGAGTTCAGGGCTAGTCACTATCTTCTGACCCTTGCTGCTTCGCTCCAAAATGAACTTCATTTACACTTTGCTCCAGTGCTGCCTCCTTGTTTCATCGGTTTTGAGAAATGCCAATGTTTCCAATAGGCTGTACATGCAGATACTTATTTCACCTTTTAATTCTGACTCTCCATCCAAGAGATCCCACACACACACACACAGTTCATGCAAATACCTGCTGGGCCTGTTAGCCAGCAACGCTGAGACATCACATCAGTGGTCCTGTGCAGTGAAGTATTTCCAAGCTTAGGACTGCCATGGAGACAATGATGTAACTAGTTTGGGGGTTTCTCACTGCAGCACCTGGGTGCTCCCTCTGCAAAGGAGCTTGCTTCTGACAGCCTCTACAGTGGCACTTCTGGACAGGTGTTGCATTGTAGCCCCTCTGTACAAATTTACTTTGATATTCCAAAGAAACATGCACTGCTGGTCTTAAGAAGCAGTATCACTTCTCAAATTACAATTTGTGGTCGCACTTCATTGCACTATATCAGGCAGTTATAACTGGCAAAACTGCTACTGTTTTTTCTGCTTACTGGACTACCACTCAGTGCCACACTGGTGGTAACTACAACCTGGTAAAGCACCTTAGTCATCTGTGACTAATCACTGTGATTAGGCAGGTTTCATTTCTGAGTATTGAGAGTCTGAACTGTTATGTCCAAGTCCTAAATAGGAAATTAAAATTAACAGTAGCAGTAAGTACTCTCTGTGGGCTTAGGGTGCAAAATTATGATATTTTGGGGTTTATATGCCAATTACATTAGAAGTAATATTGGTGTAGTGGCACTATTTTTGAAACCTTCTACTAGAAGGGCTTGGGACTACAGACTCCACTGTCAGGCTTTTACAGGAGAAAGTAACTACAAATGTAAATGTCTGAGTTGTACTGGGGAGAAGATCAGAAGAAGAAAAGCCTCTACTCCTCATTGCATTCTCAGCTGCTGACTTTAAGCAGCACCCATGCTAAGGAATCGCTCCCTGGGGTTCCATGGCATGTGGAAGCAATAAAGATGCCTGAGGATACACTCTTCTGAGAAACAGCAAGAAGGCCTTTGAGACCAAAAATATAATGAGCTGAACTCACCTTTGTGACACTGGTACCACTTCCTTGGATCTCAACAGGTTGCACAAAGTAACAGGAAGCGAAGTGTTGCACTTTGCATGTTAGCACTGAAATTTGTTGCTCCAAAAGGAACCTATGGGAAGTGATGATTACAAGGTACAATGCTTATTTCAAAAATAGAGGGCCTTTTGAAATCTAGGCAAGAGATTACAACAAATGAGAGCAATATCTAGATGCAATAGCTACAGAAAGGTAAAGAAAAGCTAAAGATGTGATAAAAGAGAGATGTACAGTAGAAAGCTGACTGCTAGCATAGTGCCACATGAGAAAGCTAAGAATACTTTACTGCACAATTAAAGTTACAAAGGTTAAGGAAAAAGGAGCATAGTGTTCTTCCAGTCAAAGCTCAAGATGGTGCACATGATCCGAAATTATACCACTCCTTATAAATAAGATTTAATGGAGATTTTTAATAGGTCTGCTCTGGAACATTCTGCTAAAATAAGCACAGAAAAATCAAGTTGTCCTGGTTTGCTTTTTTTCAGGGGTGCTCTTGTCTTTTTACAGAAAAGTGCTCCTTGTCCTTCCATAAATTGTTATTGTCTGTCATTGGCTACTGCTGGTTAAAAAGCAGAGTGTTTCTCTTAAGTGCTTTTTGTTCACAGAGCACCTTGAACCTAAAAGAAATGGAGGCCTTTAGAAAGGTAATGGAAGTTTTAGAAGCTCAACACCTGTGAAATGAAGTCTCTGGTTTTCTAGTATCTCTCCACTCCCTTTTAAGCACATAATGTTGAATGGCCCACAGTAATGTACACACACAGCACCCTGGCTCAGCAATGATTCTTGGCTTTTGTTTCTGATGTTTGTGATATAGCGCTTTATTTTTGTTTCAGAAAGCTGAGAGGCAAGAGTGAGACTTTCTGTAACAACACAATAAAGACAGGAACGTGAAAAGCTGTACAACAGATTCAAAATAGGCAGTCACCTGATGCCTGTTCCATTCCTGGATTTATGCTAAAATATGAGGGAGAGTGCCAGTGAATACATAAAATCTATGAGGCTGTCTGTCAGGTGGGAATCAGTCAGGAAGCCTGGAGCAAGGATACCCATAATTATGCCGTCAAAAGGCTTGCAATAAGCAGCAGAATATTTTATTTGCCATGAATCCTACAAAAAGTCTTTTATAACATCTGTGTCAGCAGATTCCAGGTCCCAAGAGGTACCACTTTTTGAAAGCAGCAGAGAACTCAGTAAGTGGTGTTTGCCAAGTACATTCTGTGGAAAACCTCACTGGTTTAATGAAGTTATAGGTGGCAGAGGACATCTCAGTTTTGCCTGTGTTTGAGGCATTGTTTCTCAAGGTGAGTTAGACTTTGGTGTTGATTGATGCTCATTTAATTTTCATTGTTAGTGATTCCTATGAGCTATTACTTGTGTTTCAATAGCAACTAAACCATTTGGACAGACCCCTCTCACCCCAGTGCTCTTCAGTGTGCAAACACCTAAGAAAAGTCACCTCCCAGGTGACACAGAAGTCCTGGGGAAGGACATGCTGGTGGGCCACGGTCATTTCCACCAGCTGGCATATGCATCAGCAGAGACCTGCACCAAAAGTTCCACACAGGGATGCTGTCGTTATTTACAAGCTAAGCCTTCTCCCATGAGCTGCAACACCATGGCATAACTTCATAACCTCTGGGTGCAAGTTGTCTCACATCTGACAAGTGTATATCCCCATCCTTCTGTGTGTCCAGCTTAGGAACTAGCCCAAAGGAAGCCAGTATTTCAAAATTAGCCATACCTGCTGATGCTTTACCAGAGTGGAGCACTCTAACATAACCACCATAAAATAGTCAGAAAGTCTAGTTACCAATGTTATTTACTGGAATATTGGTTTTGGTGCACAAGACAAGTTTGCTGCTCCTTCTCTACCTGATATTACACATCCGTATTTGTAAATAGGGACCATTCTCTGGCCCTAACGTCCACTAGCACAGCATCGCTCTCATCTGTATGGTTAAATTTCTTTGCAAAACAGCAGGTCACATCTGACCTGCAGACAAGCATGTCCCTAGGCTGTGCTAACCCCTAGGTTGTGCCTGAAACCCGGGAGGGATGCCAGCTGGCACAGGTCAAAAGAACGTCAGGGACCTTGCTATGTAAGTTCCAGTATGGATAATCCCAGGCCAACACACAGAACCTGGCTGGGTTCACTGCCATAGACAAAGCCATATAATATCAGCAGCTTAAAAGTCTGAACTTATCGTTTTGGTGACTGTAAATAGAAGTATCCCACCCTATCTTGATGAAGTTGGAAAACACAGCTTATCATTTGTATTCAGACTACTCATATCTCTTAATTTATTTCTCCTGCCTTGATAAACCACTCTGAGGTCAATAGTATTTAATTCAGCTAAATTGTGTCATAAAACGTCTCTTATGACAATTTGTAGTTATGATGCAATTATCTTAATTTTGCCTCTGATGAGTCTCATCAATTGAGGTTTTGATTGACTGTATCCGAGCCTAATGAGAAAAAAAACAAACATGGTCATGCCTTGCTGAAGCTTTTTTTACTGTCTGTTTCATATGGTGCCTGCTCTACTGGATCTCTGCAAGTGGTACGTGAAGCAAAAGATTCAGCTTGTCAGCCTGCTTCACAGATCCACTGAAAATAAACACATCAGACATTGAGCTGAGCTAATGGCACACTTGTTTCTGGTTGCTCATTTTTGTTTCGGGTTAATGTCATGCCCCTGCATGTACCATCTGGAGAGGGGAAAAAGATTTAATCAAAAATAAAAATAGCTGGTTTAGGTTTAAGTTTTTCTTTTGTACTATGAAGTGCAGGAAGGGAAAATGAAAGGGTGTCATTTGCTGTGACCACTGAGTAGAATAAGAGCTGTGAATGCCAGCAGGTCTGCTTCTCACCCACAATTAAAGGTCTGCTTCTCACCCACGAATCCAGTGCTTCATTTGTTTGGTGGAAAAAGCTCTGCACACCTTTCCACTGAACCTTAGCAATGCTTCTCAGCATAAACAATAGCTCATATTGTTGAGGAGGCTTATCGAGAAAGTTATGTCAGTAATGATGGGGATTTTCAGCTGGCATTCTCCAGGATTTGTGAAGTATTTGCTGCCCATAAGTGTGCTGATAAGCTGCTCGCTGATTAGAATATTCTATCTGCAGTGCAATCGGGCTCCTGTTTCCCTGACATGTCTCCTCTGCGTCTTAAAAATACCACAAGCATATCAAAAGCTTATCACAAGAAGCTATATGAATTCAGAACATGATTCTTTCTCAAGATCGCTGAGGTTAGATGTCAGCATAGACTGAAAAAACAAGGCACTAGCAAAAGGTGAACATAACAAGCATATCTCATAATCTTTCAGTGTTAGAGCCCTCATTCTCTCATTCCTGTGGTTTTTGAATATTTGTAGCCTTCACTATGCTGGTGTCTGCTTTTGACTGCAGGCTCCTCAGGGCAAGTGTACCTTTGTGTCAGTAATACACTCTACCCACTAATGGCACTGCACGAGCAGTAATGAGTGAGCCCATCACAAGCAGCTGCAAATCCAGCTATCAGCAATAGCCTGGATACTCTGCCCCATATCTAGATGCTTAAAACAAGATCACTTGATAGTGCATTGGAATAATTACACAGGGGACCTGCATGTTTAACAAGTCTAATGCAAATTCAACAATAGTTGTACAGGAGAATTTCCCATCTTCATGATAGTGTCTAATGACAGAAGAGCCATAGAAAACTGCCGTGATGACTCCCACACAGAAAGCTGATTTGCCTAAAACTATCAGCACTGCTTGGTTTCACTTGAACAAAAGGATGTGCACACCAACACACCTTTGGCCCTTGTCAATGGTGATTTCAGTTTCAAAGATAAAATATCATCAGTGTTGAAGCCCTCGTCTCAGGAGCTAATAGCTGCTTGTTGTTAGGGCTTTCATTCTTTTTTTTTTTTTCCTAAACACTCTTCTAAAAATGGTATAATTTTCCTTCAGAACCGTAATATCTTTGTAGTGTCTATTAACTGAGTTTTCCTGTGTTGTCTTAACAGCAAATTTCTTCTTGAAGAAATCTAGTTAGAGTACATTGAAAACATTCATTTCAACAATATGTATGTTTAAAAACCCTGCATTTGCCATGTGTGTACACAGAAACACAGATTGACTAAGGCAGACATCTATGTTTCTGTTTTATCTGCTGTCTTTTATCTGCCGTATTTATATTTTAAATAATTTATGCAGATTTTGATATATCCAAATTCTCTGAAGCCTAGAGGGTGAAACTTTCCCTCACTTTCTACTTCTGAGGGTACTGAAGTCCTATCTCAGGAATGCAGAATAGACATGGGGTTATGCTGTAACTCAGATAACCTCAGATCCGTTCCCTCTTTGTCTTTTCCTTCAAGCAGAGGGACCTTGGGCCAGTCCAGGGAGCAGCGAAGAGAATTTCCCGTGCCAGACCTGCAGGAATAGCCCCTATGTTGCAACAATATGGAGCGAATTCCCTTCTCTTTCCATCCCTTGTGCAGAGCCCTGGTGAGTGAGCTGCCCTGCCTGCCCCCTCCAGCCAGGATATGAGAAACACACAGAGGAACAGACACCCTGATATGAGAGGCCCACAACCACAGGAAGGGTCTATTTCTTTTTCAGTATAAGCAAAAATTTCTTTTGTATTTTTGTCAAGGAAACTTTCCTAATGCTCTTGCGTCCAAACGTGCACCAGCTGTACCAGGATCAAGGCCTCTTCGCAGCAGGCAGCTCCAGTGAGCCAACGGGTGCCCCACTTGACTCCCTACACTCACCACACTCACATAGTCACACAAGGTTTCCTTACTGGCTCAACTCCAGCTTTCCCATAGCAGAGTCTCAGACATCTGGATCCTTAAAATAATTTAATCATGGCGTAACAATAGAATAACAGTTTGAGCTGGTGCCTCCAAGGACAGACCCCAAACAAAGGAAGCCCTGGGTTTTTATACCCTCACAGTCCATGTGTGCAGTATTTTGAGGTCTGCCTGCTGCCATACCTCTGAGTGTCTGGTCACCTGGCTGGGCCACAGGTCCCCGTGCACTTCACTGTGCAAAGGCTTGGTGCCAGTTCACAGCCACTTGCCTCGGGCTCCCACCACCCAGACCTCAGACTGCAGCTCCCACTAGAGCTGCACACAGAGCTACCTGCACTAAATGTACTCTTCAATAGTTTTTTTCCTCAGACTACTCAAGCCAAAATTTCTATGAATTGTAATATGAATTTCTGTTGTATAAAATATTAAGGCTCTCACCCATCACTGTTTGTTTGTCCATTAAGCCATTTGTCCACTTGTGCAGGAAAAACATTTAACATGTCATCTCAAACCTACTTTTAAGTTATTGGTTCTGGTTTTGAAACCATTTTAAATAAGCTCCGTTCTAGTGTCGCCTTTTTTGAAGTTTTTTTCTGTGAAAAATTTGTTTCATTTAGCTAATAAGATCTTAGAGCTCCAGGTATTTTTTAGTGTATTTATTAATGGCAAGCACCTGTACCTGCAACAGAGCTATAGTGAACAACAGCATCAATGTACTCTGAAGCAATTTAGTACAGCCAAGGTGGGGTGAGGGAGAACATGTCATCTCTGATTGATATGTAGACTTTTTCTGTGGGAATAAAACTAGAACACCTTGACTGCATAAGGAACTTAATACACTCAGATTGGCTCCCTCTGATAAACATTTTCACATATTCAATGGCCATAAGAACAGTTTAGGCTGTTCTCTATGTGTTTTTCTCATTTTGCCTGAGGTCTGGGAACAACTGTGTAACATCTGAGTGGCAGTGACCTAGGTATAAATGGGATTTCTAACCATCAAACCCTTTCTTCTTCCCTTTGTTTTAGTTGTAAGATCAAGGTCACCTTTCCATTCATAAAAAGATATTTTTATTTTCCAGAAAGCAGAGGGCTAAGTCCACACAAGCACTAAAATGCTGCTTCCAAAATTCAGGTCTTTGTAAGCCCTGTTTCCTTTACTCCAAAGCACCTGCGGGCTCTGGCTTTTACAGATCAAACATTGCCTTTTTCTAGTCCAGTACCTGACTCTGCCTCATTCCAGAGAAGCCTCTCTCCCAGCCTTAGCAAGTGGCTCAACCCCAACTCCGTCAGGGGCACAGTTGGGACCCCTAAATTAAGAGCTGTGCTTTTCTGCAGGACTTGTCACAGTGAAGGTTCCCCGGGGTGCTTTTTCTGCCAGGGATTCAACTAAGTTGTTGCTATCACTCACCTGTACCAGAAGGGATTAACCCATTGTACTGCCTCACAGGCCTGAGGATGCCCTAACCATAGCAGTTTGGACTGTCTTCCAAGCTCTGTTTGGGCTACTTTGCTTTGGACAAGTTGTGCTCTGTACAGAATAACCAAATACTTGTTAGCAATAGGAGAAGGAAAGGCAGAACTTGATGCTCTCTTCATTTGATTCAGGTCTCCTTTGAAAGCAGAAAAGGTGTGGTCTGAGTTCCCAATTACCATTTAATAGTCAGCACCCAAGAAGAGCTTGGGAGCAAGCTACTCAGATCGTGTTGCTATTCGGAAGCTTGAATGAGGTTTTCACAAACAAAGGAGACTCAACAGATTAAGTCCAGAAAGGAAGAGCTTTCCTGAACGCATGGAGCCTTCCTGAATCCAAGGGAGAAACGTTCTTTGGACATGTGTAATATTTGCTAGTGTTAGCTGTTGCTTATCATCATCTTACAGCAGAGTAACTCCTTGGACTCCATCTTGAGGCAAGCACATCTATGCATGTGCTGGATAGGGAGTCTAACTCACATGTTGGGGATGCACCAAGGTGACTAAGAACAAGGCTATAATCCCCAAGCACGCCTTTTGGCACCAGAAGCACTTAGAGGGTTTTGAAAGCCTGTCAATGTCATTTTCACAGTTTTCCCATCTTCAGTAAATGTGGGATAACATTTTTATATTTAATCTTTCCTGCCTATATGAGAAGGTGATTATTTCTAGACCCACATGATCATCAGTATATACTAACTGATTAATATTCCTGCAAAATGTATTAACAAGGCAGTTACCTGAGCTCTGCAACATCACCATGCACACAGCAATCATTTTTAAAAGAATAAAGGGCTTTTGGCTTGAATCTCATTGAATCAAAATTACTCCTGTACAAAAATGGATACCATGTTTCTGAAAATGTAATTGCACTTGCAAAACTAGTTACAAAAAATTAGAGCTGGGTTTGTATTTCACAATGACTACATGAATTAGCTCTTGTTTTTGTGAATTGTTGGCAAACTATATGAAAGTTTTGTCATATCAATGTGAAAAACTGCTAGAATTTATTTGTCATATAATTTAAGCATATACTCTTGATTTATAGTTTGTTCAAGAGAAATTTACAGCAGCATTCAACATTCTTTGTTGAGCTGTATTGGTTAATATTGATTGATAGTGTGTATCAGATGATAGTTTTCTGTTCCCTGATTAGATGACATTCTTATAGAAAGAGTTTTCCAATGCCAGCTCTAATGCTTTTTAATCCCAAAATTACTTTTGATGAGAATTCTCTTATAATCATTCAAAATGTCACTTTTTTCACCTATCACTCTTGCTAACTAATATCTATCATAAAGTACTCAAACAAGGAAAATGAAAAAGTGAGCAAGCGCATCTGAAATAAATGCTGATGGAATTTGCTGATTTTTTCACTCTACTAAACAAACAAACAAAAAACACAAACAACTTATTCACATCATTGTACACACATAAGTCACAACGTTTCCGAATTCTGGATTTGATGTCTCAAAAAGAAAATAAAAGAAAACAAAACAAAACAAAACAAAAACCCTGAAGGGAGTATTTTTAAGGGAACTATTCCTGAACATAAAGAGGTTCAAACAAATCAGTCCCAGCAGTTTCCACCCCAGAAGCAGGGTGTGAGGAGTCCCTATGCCTTAAACGAGGGTGAGGGAGTTCTGTTTCTGGTCTGGAGGCAGCTGAAGTCCCCGGGAACACGCGTGGGTTTGGAGCTTTAGCCCAGCCGAGCAGCAATCGCACGACTGCATAGCGACACAAGGCGCCAGGGAGCACCCGGGGCTCTCCAATCTCGCCCGCTCCACAGGGAGAGCACCAGGCCGTCCCCGGCTGGCCGCCGCGGCTCGGGCCGGGCGCGGGCGGTGCGGGCGGAGCTGCCGCACTGCGCCAGCGGGAGGTTCCGCCGCGCGGGGCCTCTCCCGCACCTCCCGCCACAGGCGCCACCGAGCGCGGCCCGCGCGGCGCCGCCGGACCGGGGCGGCTGGACCGGCAGCGACCCCCAGTGCCCGAGTGGCCGCCGGCACGCCCGGCGCGGGTGTCTCGGCTCCTCTGGCCTTTTGGGCTGGGTTTTAGGCTTTCTGGCTTTGTGGCTTTGCTCGCACCCTCTGCTTCAGGCTGTGTCAGCGAATGGGTGCTGAGCTGCCCGCCGTGCCGCCCCCCAGCCGTCTCTGCTGAATGAGAGCCCCGCGCGGCCACCGTAAACCTGACCCCAAAATAATGTAATAACTAACCTGGTTTGCATGTTGGCCAGGCTAGAAGGTAATTTTAAATAACCTGCGTCTTTACAAGTGGAGTGGAGGTGGTTTGGGAGGTATTGTGGTCCCATCCTGCAGCCTAATAACCTCATCATACTGAGCCCTGAGCAGCTCATCCCACCTCTGGAGCTGGGATGAAAGCACAGTCTGGGCTGAAGGGATCTGTGAAGCTGCAGCAGCCTCACAGCCCTGTAGAACTGCTGTACCTCTTTGCAGACCATGGTAATCCTCGTTGCTACGGGCTGTGGCTGGCCTGCAGGATTGGATCAGGCTGGCAGAGGGAAGCTTTTAGAATGATATTCACCTAGAAAACCATCATTCAGGGACAAATGGCATAGGAGCCTTTGTCACGGAAGCATGATAACATTTCCCCCCAGGGCTGGAAGAGAGCCTGCCTGAGTCTGGGTGCTGGAGTTGTCAGCTAATGATGCTGGACCCAGAGTGGGGCATCAAAAAGCAAAGGGTGGGAGGAAAGCGGCCCATGAAAGAGCAGTCAATTGTTGACCAGTCAGGCAGACGAGAAGAGTGAGACAAAAGACTACTAGGGGTTACTGTGTAAGCAGATGTTTCACATCTTATTTGTACAGCTGAACTATTGATTTGCTTCTGCTATTGTTTTTTCTCCCCTAAATTAGTGTTCCTTTCCTCCTGTTCAAATTGCTTGTGTTTCAAACACAGGCTCGTTGTTCACAAAGGGGAAAATGTAGTTTCTCAAAGAAGATACTTGTTTTTCCCACTGTCAGGATTTGGATGTCAGGCTGAAAACAATCACTAACTTTTTGAGGCCAGCGCAACACTGCTGCTGCATGGGTTATCCTTGTCATTCAGCCAGGGTCATCCTTCTAGAGGATGGACTTCGAAAGGCCTGATGGACTGTAGAAAAATTGCCAATATCCAAGGACATCCATGTGCTGCACTACAAGCCATATGCTGTGGTTGTCTCTGTGCAACAGTTCAATGCCCCTTTATAGCCCCTTGTGCTTAAGAAACCTGTTGTTATGGGCTTCCTCTCTCAACTGTCCTGAGCTTTCTGCCAAAGTTGTCCTTGTTCTTGACTCTAGGCTATG